AACAATTTTAATTAATTTCTTATTAAAAATATATCTGCGCTCTAGAATAATTTCTTATGATTGCTGTAATTTTCATAGAGCCTTTTCTCAACTTTTTTATACTTTTTATTATAATCGATATTATTGGATGCTTAATAATTTATCAAAATAATAGAAGAATGTTAGAACAAGAAAAATAACAATTATTCTATGAATGAAGATCATCATAATTTATTATAAAGTTATTATTTAGACATCTTGATTTATATGAGAATCATTATAAGTCTGTTTTTACATTGATTTCTATTAATATTAATTAGATATAAATAATGGTGTTTTAAAATATATTGAATCACAATTATGAAATTTTGCTATGTTGAATATGAATAAAATAATCAAAATTCAAAAGGATCAATATAATTGATTAAATATGTAAAAAACTAATAATGAAAATAATAAAAAATAATTATTTGATTAGGTGCCGAAAATACATATTTAAAAAAATGTATGGGTATGTATCATGTATCATATTTAATACAGAAATTATCAATCAAAATGCCTAATATTCTTGACAATATAATATCACTATTATAATTCTCATTTCTCATCTCTTTAAAGGGTAGTTTATGTTTCAAAATTACTCCTTAAAGCTTGTAAATATGATTTCTTTTAGTAGACATATTTTTGAGAGAAAAATTCAATAAGTATAATCAAAGATAATAATTATGACAAAAGTTTATAGGGATTAAAAATAGATTATACAATTTAAATATATTAAAAAATAACATCTTTTTAATGTTGAACTATTTTTTATAAAAAGTAAGAATTTAGATAACTATATTAAAATGATATCAATGGCTATATATTATAATACTTTAAGCGTATATATATATATTGTGTAACACACGAGATATATAAATTTAATTCATTTGGTTTTAGTCTCCATAGCTTACAAAAAATAATGATTTACTTTAAATCGAAAGTAAATTTAAGTTTAAAACTTTATTTCAATAGAGAAACTCCTACAGTTGTAATATTATCTTGATTTATATTCTCTCTAATGGTATGAAAACAAGGTAAATTTTTTTAGTCAAAATATAATTAATTTATAATTAAATAGAATTGTGATTAAATTAAGCAATATAAATGGGTAAATAATATTTCTAAATCTATAAAAGTTTAATTCCTATGAAAATTCCTTTTATGAACTTAAATGCTGAGATTGAGATTATTTCATAAATTTTGCATATAATCTAGGTTTAACTGATTTTTTATTTGAGTTTAATCTAATATAATAGGTATTTTTCAGATTAATTTGTAACCAGTAATTGAGACTCTAATTATTTGAATTAAAGATTTCTAATAAAGGCTCAAAAATTCAATTAAAATTATAAATTGTAAAAATCGGAATATCTCTTTAGACAGATTTTCAATTAACAATATATAACTTAAAATTAAAGTAATAGAAATTCAATATTAAAAATAAAAAATAAAATGCAGGGTCCTTTATAAGAGAAGGAAACTCTAGCAGACATCTTTTATTAAATTAAAGATGTAGATGAACAAATATTTAGTGTCATATTAGAAATATTAAGAAAGGAAAAAGTTTAAGATTGCATTGGATATCTTTCAAATAATGAGAATCAAAGAAAATTAGAGTAATAAATCCTACAATTAGGAGAGAATTTAACTAAAGCCGATACAGAATAGTAATTGTCTGTTGTTCGAAATGACATGAAATAAGTTACAAATGTCTTAAAAAAATTAAAAGATCATGAATTCAATAAAAAAGACTATGCAAGTGAAGAAAATTAAAAGCCTAAATAAAGCCTAATTAATAGCATAAAGAATGATACATAGATGATAAAATTTTTGTAATTTTTAGTTCACCTCACATCCATAGATGACAGTATCATATAATATGGGTCTAATTCTTTACATTTATTAGTTTAGATGTAGGCTAACCTTCGAAACAAAAATTTTGAAAATATTAAGATCTAAAATACTTCTTTAGTAGGAGCTAATTTTGTTCAGTGTAATTTAAGTGGATCTTAATTTAATAATGTTAATATAAGTTAAATGAATTTGAATGGAGCATTATTATTGAATTGTAAATGGAACAACTTAAGAATACTTGAATTAAATAATTTAAATGGTCATACCAGTTCAGTCAATTAGATTTGTTTTTCTTCTAATGGAAATACATTAGCATCTGGTAGTAGAGATAACTCCATCCGTCTATGGGATGTCAAAACAGGATAATAAAAAGCCCAATTAGATGGTCATACTAGCACTGTCAACTCTGTCTGTTTCTCTCCTGATGAAAATATATTAGCTTCTGGTAGCAGTGATAAGTCTATTCGTCTATGGGATGTCAAAACAGGATAATAAAAAGCCTAATTAGATGGTCATTAATATAAAGTCAACTCAATCTGTTTCTCTCCTGATGGAAATACATTAGCGTCTGGTGATGATTAGGCTATCAGTTTATGGAATGTTAAGACAAAGAAAAAGATTTTCAAATTGGTTGGTCATATTGAAACTGTCAACTCTGTCTGTTTCTCTCCTGATGGAAAAATATTAGCTTCTGGTAGCAGTGATAAGTCTATTCGTCTATGGGATGTCAAAACACGAAAATAAAAAGCCAAATTAGATGGCCATAGTAATTGTATCAACTTTATTTGTTTTTCTTCTGATGGAAATACATTAGCATCTGGTAGTAGAGATAGCTCTATCCGTCTATGGGATGTCAAAACAGGATAATAAAAAGCCTAATTAGATGGTCATACAAGCACTGTATTATCAGTCTGCTTTTCTCCTGATGATAATACATTAGCTTCTGGAAGTGATGATAACTCTATCCGTCTATGGGATATCAAAACAGGATAATAAAAAGCCTAATTAGATGGTCATACAAGCACTGTCTTATCAGTCTGTTTCTCTCCTGATGGAAAAATATTAGCTTCTGGTAGCAGTGATAAGTCTATTCGTCTATGGGATGTCAAAACAGGATAATAAAAAGCCAAGTTGAATGGTCATACTAATACTGTCTACTCAGTCTGTTTCTCTCCTGATGGAAATATATTAGCTTCTGGAAGTTCTGATAAGTCTATCTGTCTATGGGATGTAGAAACAGGATAATAAAAAGCCAAATTAGATGGTTATTAATATTCAGTCAACTCAATCTGTTTCTCTCCTGATGGAAATACATTAGCGTCTGGTGATGATTAGGCTATCCGTCTATGGGATGTCCAAACAGGATAATAAACAAGAATAATGGATGGTCATTATTATTAAGTCAACTCTGTCTGTTTCTCTCCTGATGGAATTACATTAGCTTCTGGTAGTAGTGATAAGTCTATCCGTCTTTGGGATGTCAAAACAGGATAATAAAAAGCCAAATTAGATGGTCATACT